AATGGAATTTTGTGAAAATATGATGGAACGCGCAAATGAAGATGAACATTTCATTGAAAACATAGTATTTACCGACGAATCCACATTTCCATTACAAGGAAAGCACAATCCTGCTATTGTCCGGTACTGACCTATTGAAAATGAATACAGGCAACTAAACTTAAAGACTCAGTATCCTGAAAAGTTGAACGTGTGGTGTGGTATTTATGGGAATAATATTATTGGCCCCTTTGTAATTGGTGGCAACTTAAATGGAGCGAGATATTTGGATCTTCTTCAAAATAGAATTATTCCTGCAATCCAAAACATAACCCCAAATTTGGATAACGTTTGGTATCAACAGAATAGTGATGGAGGATTTACAAGAGATTTTTCCCCAAAGGATAATTTCTACCGGGGGCGCTATTCGCTGGCCAGCAAGGTCGTACAGTCATAAAAAAATGAATAATTTGGGCGAATTAGAAGCAAGAATGCATACAGCGTTTGAGACAATTACTCCAGATATGCTAGCTAATGTTCGCACCGAATTTTATGATAGACTGGGCTTTTGTTTGACGCAATTTGGGGGAACGTTTGAAAATAGGCTTGAATAAATTATTCAAAGCTTGTGTTCAAATAATAATTTATTATTTAATTTATTTATTTATTTCCATTTATTTTAAGTAGTTTGATTTTTAGTTTTGTTTTAAGAGTATAGATTTATTTTTTATTTTAGTTTTTAAAGAGAATTTTTTATGTTTTTAAACGTTTTTTTATAAGAAAAAACTTTTAGTTAAATGCAAAACAAATAATGATTTTACACCTAATAATTTACTGTTAAAAGTGATTACGTTACATTTTAAGTATCTGAATCATTTTTAAAAGTAAATTAACTTAATAATGCGTAATTCGTATTAATAATCCAGAACAAACTTCACCATCACCAATCGCCGGTGAAGGTTGTACTGCTCATTGAGCAGTGCTCAAGATCATAGATAATAATGGCTCAAGATACATACACCTTAAGATAGGATGGTGCGCTGGTTGGGCGGGACTTAAATACGTCACTTGTTGAGTATTTTTAAATCTTTAATTATCTGCTGCCAAAATTTTTGGGATGATGTTGAATGTTAACTCTATTTTTTTGTTTAACTTGTTTTTGCGTTCGGTAAGGTTGGAATTACTTTTCAGTGTTCAAATTATTGTTATTGCGTTGTGTTAACCTGTTCTGTTTGTTTATTATTGTTGTTGTGTTGTGTTAACTTTTTTGTTTGTGTTTTAGTTTTTGTCGTGCCATTTGCATTTATTAAAATGCGGTGTGGCATATTTGACTGCAATTCGAACAACCAGTCCAAGAAAAACCCTTTAGGTAAATAAAAACATTAAATTTCATCGATTCCCGAAAAACTTTGATTTGTGCAAACAGTGGTTAAATGCCACAAAAAGAATAGACAATATTAACGTTAAGACCCTGGTTAAGACCGCTTCTGTATAAGTTTAATTTAAAACACCAACTCTGAAACACTATAACACTTTCTTCAGTATTAAGTTTAATAAATATCCAGGTATTTCTCTATTTTCTTTGATAATATTACTATTATTCGTGTACATTGGCGGCTGGTGGATTTTGGGTATACCAATATTTCAGCTATTAGACATGGGACCCACACCAAATTTATAATAGTTTATAATGACATTAAATAGAAAAGTTCGGCGCAAACAGAATTTAAATTGAAGTTTGCGAAAAAAAGTTAGTTTTTCATGTCGCCTCACCCGCCTCCAGGCCCCCCTATTTAAGAAAATTCAAATTAAAGTGGTGCAATTTATTATCTACTATAATTTATCGACAAATTTAAAATTTTATTTAAAAAATCCAAATGTTACAGGTTTTATACCATTTTAAATATTTTTTATTTTATTCAAATAAATAATAAAAATTGAAAATCAAATAAAATCTGTAATATTTGGATTTTTTAAATAAAATTTTAAATTTGTCGATAAATTATAGTAGATAATAAATTGCACCACTTTAATTTGAATTATCTCAAATAGGGGGGCCTGGAGGCGGGTGAGGCGACAGGAAAAACTAATTTTTTTTCGCAAACTTCAATTTAAATTCTGTTTGCGCCGAACTTATTTATTTAATGTCATTATAAACTATTATAAATTTGGTGTGGGTCCCATGTCTAATAACTGAGATATTGGTATACATAAAATCCACCAGCCGCCACTGTTCGTGTATTCGCACGGCAACTACTCATGTGCGGCACGAATGCCGGTCTAGAGGAAAAATGAAAATACGGTATGGAAAAATGATTTTATCTCAAAAACTGTTCTACGTTTACTTTTATAATTAGCAAATAATAATTTTGGGATACCCTGTATAACATTTTCCCGAGCATTTTCCCTTTGTTTTAAGTTTAATCTTTTAACGTAATGTTTAACAAACGCCGTTTGAGTTTTATTAAAAATCATCGCAGCAAATAAATTACCAGCAATTTAACAGCTAATAAATTTGTTTAACTTTTTTAAACGTAGTAACAAATACAGTATATTTCAAGGTAATGGAAACATAGGCAATTTAATTTCATTATTTAAATCGTGTTAATTTAGTTTAGTGAAAGAATAATATTAATTTATTGGAATTTATATTTAAGAATAAGTCAAAACAATATTCCTAGCTCAGGCCCGTAACCAGGAAATCCAGAAGGGGGCTTTATCCGCTATACCAAAAAAAATATTTGAGAGCCTCCCAAACTTTTAAGAGGCGTCTGATATATTTTAAAAAAAGTTTATTTTTAATATTATAATTCGAAATTCCTTTTTTATTTTCAAAACTACATGTTTAATCACAATTTTATTATTAGAGTTTCTTTAAGAAATCTTTATTTCCAAATGTTTTCACAAGTTTGCATTTAAGTACTTTGCTTTCGTATGCAACTAACGCAACAAATAAATTCAATAAAATAAACTTTATTGTCACGCTCGACACTAAAGTGATTGATTATAGGCACATAATAAATCATTACGGGCTAGTAATTAGTTAGTGTTTGGTCGATTGAATTATGCACAGTGATTCGGACCAATTATAAATTTTAGCTTGTGTCAGACAGTTCTAACCTCACTTTCTACTTTTAATAACCTTACGTTTTATGCACGTTTACCACGATTGGTCTAAATTATTTTTACAGTCTAAGAGATAAACAATCACTTACTTAAGTAGTAAGTGTTGACAATAATAAAGTTTAAATTATAGAACGCTTGAAGATAAAAATATTTATTTAAAAAAGTGTAAGTCTCCATGAAATCTATAACCTTTATTACGTTGTTCATTTTGAGTAGAAAATTTATATAAACACCCTGTATATCCACAATATATCACTATATATCCACAACTATACTATTAACATTGTACAGGGTATCCTGAAGCTGGTCATAAAAGCGCGGAAAGGTATTTTAAACACAAAAATATTATATTTATTTATTTATATATAAAGCAAATTAAATAAGAAAAATAAATAAGATTTATTTTATTTTCAAAAAAATCAAAACATTAAATCATCATAATTTAAACTTGTTAAAACTTCAATTTATTATGTTAATTAATTAATAATCATAAAATATTAAAAAAAATTTACTTAAAAAAAATTATAGGTAATCTACCTGTTGTTAAATATGTTTTGCAATTTTTGTATACTAAAAATTTTCAAGTGGTATGGTATTGTATGTTTTATTTATTTATTTATATCCAACAGGCACAGGACCCAATTGAAGGAATAAGTTTTATGTTATATTATATTATTTATTTTAAAAATTGCGCACTAGCGGTATGCCACGTTTAAGGGGGGGTTATTTTAAGTATAAAAATTTAACTTATTAAGAAGGGTTTTTTAATTAAATTTTATTGTTTTTATTTAATTGCTTTAATGATTTTGAATGAAGTTAAAAAAATTATACAAATCTGTAAACCATGTTAATTTCACCTCGCAGCAGATACGTTGTTTATTTTTCTTCCATAACAACAGTTTTTAGATATGTGATAAAATAGCTTCAAAAAACAGTTTTTTAAACATAAATTTCTTAATAACTCGAATATAATAATTTTTATACGTAGAATATCCCCCATATAGTGTTATACAAGGTGACACATCGCTAGTGCACCATATTCAGGACACCCTGTATATATTTTAATGTTTCTTTCTATTATTATCCTTATCATTATTACATCTTTGGAACATTAATTTGTTGTCTATTCTTTTATATTACAAATTGTAATATGAAAATTACATATTTTTAAACCATATTTAGTCAGAAATTTGTATTTAACAAATTATTATTATACGGTGATTTCGTCAATAAAATGCCACAAATTTAGAATTGTATTTAAATTAAATATATAAATAATTTATAATCAAAAAATAATAAATTTAAACATTTCCTGTTAAGTATGTATACATTTATGTATAACAATAATAGCATTAATATATTATACAAATATTTTAAAATATCCAAAATAGTTCCTAATATTGTTACATAAAATAGTTAATACATATTATTGTTATATACATACATAGATATATGTAGGTACTTAGTCATTATGTTATGTTTACGCAAATGTATTATACTATTTCTCTTTAACCTTTCGAATTTAAAAACAAAGGATATTTTAAAATAAATACTTAGGTATTCAAAAATGCCCAATTTTGCCAAATCTTTGTTTTAAAGAATAATTATTATTATAGGTAATTTTAAAATTATTGAAACTTACATAGAACAAAGTAGCGTTAACAATTAAACTAAAATGAAAGTTTAAAAATAAATAGCATTTTATATAATTAATGACATAAACACCCCCATTGCATCGAGTAAATTTGGCCGAGCCTATAAATAAATTTAAAAACAACAAAACAACGGGATATTTTAAAATAACATTCATAGAATGAGCACTGAATTGGCAGCGCAGCATTTCGTATCGCACGACCAAATTAAATTAATTCCAATGTTGTTAAATTTTTACGTACCCTGCTAATTTTTCTAGACCTGGGCTGTTGCTGCTGTTTGGCCATATCACTGAGTCTAGAGCTCGACATTGTTTCAAAGTCGTTATTTAAAAACTCGCGCGCTTAAATTCGTAACTGTGCACACTGCACGTACACTTAGCACAAAAAACTAACCCTAACTCTGCCAGTGCCACTGTGGAAATTAGACGAAACTCCAACGAGAAAACCCATTTTTGCGCAAACACACGTGGTAAACCGGTCTGCAAAAGGTTTTCGACTGTTCACGCCTCGAGTTTTGTTGTAAATATAAATTCACTAGCATTCGATATGACGTCACTTGTGTGACCGACATACGTTTGCAACTAGTCGATTTAGTCGTCGCCAGTTTGTTCATCAACGATATTTTTATTCTGAATCGATGGGCGTTCTAATCATTATTCGATGAAGGAATTAAGATTTATTGATTTATTAGCTGTTATTTTTAATGGAGATGTTTTGTCGGAAAAATACTTAACTATGGGGTTTGCATTACGAAAATAAAAATTTATGATATTATAACATCTACAACAAACACTTCAGTTTATTATTTAATATCCGGGATATTATATCCCATTCGAATATGTCTTTAATTTTTTAATTTAATCTGGGAGCAAGGCCTAATAGGTCCTTTCGCAGATCATTGACAGTATAGACGGTGTTAGTATGGTAAAAATGCTTGAAAAATAAATTAGCATATCACTGGCTCGCTCAGATCTGCAGCCTCGGCAGCGAACACTGAGCTCGGCTTTAAATAAGCGCTTATCTATAGATAACACAGGTCCACAAAAAGTGGTGTGTGCTGGGTATCAGACTATGATTTTCTAGCATATTTTTTCCCGATGAACGCGAATCTGAAGTTAGAATTAAGGGGCAAACTGCAACCAAAAAACCGATAAAAGATCGTAATTTTAATTTTTGTAATGTACTATTTTCTATTTCCAACTTTAAAACGCCCATTATCGTACATGTTTCCATGACACTATAACACTAACTTAGTTTCAATAAGTGAAGTTATCAACAGTGGCTTTCGGGCTTTTAAGTAACAATACAATATGAACGAATTCCATGTTACTTTCAATTAGTTAATACCTACTGCAATTTTATTGACAAAATAATAAAAATTACCTATATTACCTATACTTCAATAACTATTAGATATGGTATAAACCAATAATTTAAGCAGCTAAAATATATTTTTATAACGTAAATATTATTTATCTACGCCAGTGAGATAAGAACTTCTTATCCCACTCATTTTGAGTGAGATAAGAAGTTCATTAACGTACGCGTTTTTCTCTGCTTTTAACCAATCAAATAAAAAAGTCAAAATGTCAAAATGTCAAAATAACCCTAAATTAAGTCTTAGACAAAAATAATTACCGTTTATTTTTTTTTTCATTTAGAGGCGTAGATAAAAATTTGTACAATATACGTGTGATAACGCTTTATTAACGTACGCATGCGATTTGCCCAACGAGTGCGTAGCACGAGTTTGGCAATCGCAAAAGTATTATTATTATCCCACTTATATTGTAAATAACTATTAAACCGTTGTCTTTTATAATCTCCTAAATATATTTAAAAGCAAAGCCTGTTTCTGTTCTTTATGTAAATGCACTTTGCACAATGCATTTTTATTAAGTTTTGAAAGACTTCGCATTCGCCACTTTCATACAAATTGCAATTTTTTAGGTAAAACCTTTTAACTTTTTAAAGAATGAATTGATACGAATATTAAATTTTGAAATTGTTAAAAATGGCGAATGCGCCAGGGTTAAAACTTAATTTTTTAGATTTCATTTTTAATTCTTGTAATGTAATGCAAATTAGGTTTAGGGCAATTTAAAAACATTATTTTTTTTTAAATTGCTAATGCGACACAACTAAAATATTGTTTTTTTTTCACTCCCACCTAAATTCGACAAACCGGTAAAACAGATAACTTTTCTAGATTTTAATATTCATTTTTAAGGCTTAAGTCAGTCTGCTATAAGTAAAACAAGAGTTTACAAGTGTTATAAGAGTTTCCAAGATGGCCGTAAAGACGTTGAAGATGACGAACGCCCCGAACGCACAAGCACATTAACATGGAAAAAGTGGAAGAAATGGTTATAAACCATCAGAGAAGTTGTTGATGATGTTGGTATATCGATTGGCTCATCCCATGAAATTTTTTCGAACGTTTTGCTTAACAACATTAATGTAGACGAATAAATAAATATTTGTTTCAAAAATCGAAAATTCCTGATATTTTCTGAACACACCTCGTATAATCAGACCATATTATTCTTTGAACAGATATCATAAAAATCGCCATAATTGGTAAAGTAGCAAAAAGTGCTTGGTTTTTCTTAGTCAATGATAGAGGAGTAGTTAGTTTAAAATTGTCTGCAATGTAATAATTTCTTCTATATTAACGATTAGGGTAAAGAATGTTTTTTTAAGTTATCGTTTTTTTTACTATCCTTCATCTTTCTTAATACCAGACAGAATCTAAAAATTGTAACTAAAGGTATGTACGTTAAAACCTGATTTTTTAAGCCTTTTCAAAAATTAAAATCAATTTTTCCCAAAATCACCTTTCCTAACTATAGTGGATTTTTGCTGTACGCCTACGATAATATATTATAGATATATTTATTAAATATAGCCACTCTTCTAGTGGCAAAATTTCAAATAAGCAATTTAAGGCCATCAAAAATGTAAACCAATTAAATAAGCAAAAAACACAGTACTGTGTCAAAAAATGTTCTTTATTTTATTTATATATATATAAGAACACAACAAAATAACTCCAAATAACCTTAATAAAGTCCTAAAAGACAAATCATACACTCCGCCGGAGTGACTCCGGGAATTTTCCATTTGTTCTTCTTCAAATAGGAAACAAAAACTGAAGGTAGGTACCATGCTGAGCAACATTGTAGCACCGTTGCAACAACATTGCCAGGTAACTAAGACTTCAGTTGCAGTGCAATACTGCTGCAACTCTGGCGCGCGGTTTTTTTTAAATTATGCTTTGAAGATCTATAGTTTCGTACGATGACCATGGTGCTACAGTGACAAAGTCTATGGTTAAGCAATGTGTCAGTGTGTGTTTTTTGCAACAAACGGCTCTAACGTTTTTAATGAAATTTGTTTTTGGGATCGCTGATATCCATTTTTTCAAAAACAAAATTCTTTAATTATGTTTTGATAATGCTCAAATTTGACAAAATCTGGTTTTTGAGGTCGCTAATTACAAATTTAATATAAATTTTTTCAATAAAAAAAATTGCCGGACCCAATATTTTTGGTAAAGATATCTAACTTCTAGGAAACGGCCCTATAACTTTTAAAAGTTTTAAAATTAACCAAATTTTAATTTTTTTAAAAATAAGCATAATTTTCCTATAAAAAATTTAAAATGTCCAAAATTTTTAATACCTAAATTTAAAATTGAAAAATTTAAAAAAAAAATATTCGCACAGTAGGTCCAAATTAAAAAATATTGGGCAAAATTAGTAAGAAGCTTTTGTCGCGCGTCTACTAACTGACGTATTATATCTGTTTGAAAATATGGCACAGTAAGTATTGGGCTCAAAAAGAGTCTGACTTCAATTGTCGATCAAATACTTATCTATGGAAAAAAATTGAAACCAAATTATTCTAACCATTCTTTACCCTAATTGTTAATATAGAAGAAATTATTACATTGCAGACAATATGCAGAAACATTGCATGTAATGTTGCACTCCACGTACGTTGAATGTTACTTGTAATCTTGCTGCAACATATATGCAATATTGCAATAACTTGACGACGCGGACATGGACAACGCTGCTTGCAATATTGCTGCAAAGTGGCAGAAATATTGAGTCTGTAAGGGATGGAAATATTTGGTAAAATTTTTTGGATTTTTTTTTGTAAAAGTATTTTTTATTACGCACGCAATCATTTCTCAAGAGTAAAGCGCACGTATTTAAGTTTGTTAGTCAATTTATGTGTAAACAGTGCGAAATTAGACCCTAGGGCCACTACCTGTGCAGGTAATCACGGTACCGGTCTCCAGAAGTCTTAAGTCGGATTTATAGTTCTAAAACGTAGCCGTAGCCGTTGCAGTTGCAGTTGCAGTAAGTAAGTAGCTAATTTTTACAATTTATAGTTCAGCGCGTAGCGGTTGCAGTAGTGGCCGCGTAGTGACATTTGTTCTGTTTACAAACATTTCAAGTATTTTGTATCGGTGATTTTCGCTTTGTTTATTTGGTTTAGTTTACTTATAAACATAGTTTAGTGACATTTGTTCTGTTTACAAAGATTTCAAGTATTTTGTATCGGTGATTTTCGCTTCGTTTATTTTGTTTATTTGGTTTAGTTTACTTATAAACATGGTTTGGGAGCCTTGTTTTTGAGTTTGACAGTTTTTCTGCAATATCTGCAATTTGATTGGCTGTAGTTGTCGTTGCCGCAAGAAAAGATAAAAGTTGGTCATCTCTTACGACAACTTACGACAACGACCTTGGATGCTACTGCAAAGATCCTCCAGCCAATCACAGACTGTTTTGCCCCTACTGCAACTGCAACTGCAACGACTACGGCTACGTTTTAGAACTATAAATCCGGCTTAAAGAAACAGAATCAACAAAGCGCTAGTACGCAGTGCAACACAACCTTCTAACAAGTGAAGAATGTACGAAACCAGTACACTACCTGGGCTAGTGAATTCAATGTACCAATCTCCCGAAGGAACCAAAGGAAGGTTCAAGTGGTTCGCAGGAACAAAAGATAATAATTTAAATAGCTTTTGTAGCCATATGAATGCATCCCTTGTTTGCAAGACGTTGTCAACACGTCGATTAGGACCACAATTTATGGCCCTCCGAAGTTATTTTGTTTGTTTATGTCTGGCAGAGAGGCGGGCGACGTCGGCAAGTGTCGAATATACGTTTTTAAGAAAAGCAGGGCATTTAATTAGAACCTTTCGTTAGATACACTAGACTTTAGTTTTTGTTTGATTGTTTTATTCTAAATAGTAATTAAAGCTTATTTTAAATCATAGTCTAATTTCCTTTATTTAAATTAACATAGTTTACAGTTCAGGTGTGGGGTAAACTTACGTGAATTTACGGTTACCTGTGTTTTAGTTAAGTTAATTATTTAGTGATTAGTGTTAAGTTACGTGAGTGTAAACAAAAAGAGAAACGATGGGCAAAGGAAAACGACGTTGTCGCCCTCGTAGCTCTAGCTCTTCGAGTAGTGATTCCAGCAGCGAATCGTCAAGCTCTACTGATAACAGATACAGACGTACGCGATCTGAACGGGGCTATAC